CACATTCGAGCACATCTAGTGTTTTTGTTAAGGTATCTTGAGACTGGAGTTCCAAAGCGTCAAATTGACGTTGTCCCTCAGCACCGAGTAGATGTCTGAGAATATTCATTTTCTGGCCTCCAGTGTAGTTAGAAGCCGTAGGCAGGAGGTCAAGCTAGTTTGTAAACGAGCTTTTCTACTGGACCCATGCACTTTCGGTAAGTCGTAAGGTCGGATCAGACCAGTAAACTGTAGGAGGATGTAATTCCATGGCGTAGGTTAGTAAGCCGCGACGCGCGTGTTTTATGTACGGAACGTCAGATGCATGAGCCGAAGTAAGTAGGTCGCTCCGGTAAACGAACTACTGTAGTCTGATAAATGTCAAACTACGTGAGTACATTGAGGTGTCGCAAGGAGAAGGATGAACCAATTGGGGAGCAGAGAATTAGGCGCCTTGTGAGTGTGTGTGGTTGGAGTTTGGTACATGTGTCTGTTTAGACTAGCCGTCAAGCATGCTGACAGAATACACAACTGTTCCTCTGCTATGAATCGGCTGGAAGTTACTGATCGTTCATTTGGTATTACAGAAAATAGGATGGAACTGTAGAATACGATGACTAGCCGTATTGGCGATGCTAAATCTATCGACGCAATCAGCGACCTGGTGCACCACATCAGGGAAAAGGTTACCGCTGCTGCCGAGGAAACTATCGGGGGCGTAAAGTGTAATCGTTCCGATTGGTTTTACAACAGTGTAACCTTTGGCACGTTGGTGTTGGCGAAGCACACAGCATTCATTGCGCATGTAGGTGACCATGCCGAGTCTGCGAACTTGATTGACTCTCACAATCTCACGGCGATTGGATCGGGAGCTCCGTCGCATAAAGAATGTATGTTGGACAGAGACGAAGCAGATACAATGCTACGCCGAACGCCAGCAACATAAGGAAGTATTTGACTCCTTGATGGCGGTGTGTGGACCCACCTTGCAACCGCTGAGGACGGTAGTAGATGCTACGTCAAATCCTACCTACGCGCAGACTGCAGAAAATGTAGAGCTGGCGAAAGCGCTTCGACTGTCTCACAAAATACTCCTAAAAGTGTGACGGGGCTGCGTTGCAAGGGCTGTAATAACGAGAGATTAAGGTTTGTCTTACGAACGCAGAGCACTTGCTCAGCTACGAAATGGCACGTGAACCGGAGCCAACGGGATACCACCAAAAGTGTTGAAAGGCGACAGACTAGCCTTGATGCCAACGCTGCACCACTTCGTACCATCCGTGTGGATTAAAAAGGAAGGATCCTCTTGCGGTACCACTGTGCAACCTTGAAAGGAGCAAGCAATGTTACAAGAAGTACTGTTGCCTTAACTTGCTGAGTTGTGTGGGGAAGGTGGTCACCCGAAATTTCCCCCAACCGCCTCGTCACATAGCTCGTTGAACCGAACGTGGCGGAAGAGCAATGTGGATTCTGTTCGGGTTGTCTCACCAGAAATATGTTGTTTGCAGCTCATCTATTGCAACAGAAACGCCGAAAGCGACAGCAGCCATTGTACTCGCTGTTTGTAGAATACAGAAAGACGTTTGACACGACGAAACGAGAGGCACTGTGACTGGTGTTGGATAAGTCCGATCGTCCTAGTAAGTTTATAAGTCTGATTGAATGCCTGCACAGTCGTATGCAAGCAAGGGTGCACCAGAGTGGACAGACCTCGGATGACTTTGCACTTGTAAGTGGTGTAAAGCGAGGCTGTGTCTTTGTCGCTGCCCTTTTACAATCTACCTAAATTGTATACTTTATTGTGTATTTAATTCATGGAAATACGATGTCATAGTGGAGCATTGTATTGATGGGGCTTACTGAACATCCGCCTTTTCGGCGGCAGAACCTTAGGATGTGTGGCAATCATCCGTATGTTTCTATTTGCCTACGACTACGCGTTGTTTGTACACAGCGCGGATGAACTGCAACGCGTCATGACTGCACTCTTCGATATCGGCCAAATTTGGTCCCACCATCAACACAACCAAGACTGTTTCTTCAGTCTTCACCAGAAATGGACTCCGTGGATCCGCCATAAATTCCGATTATTATCGGCGTTTCGGAAACCACCCCCTGATTTTGCTGCTTTGCGAGCATAATATTTATCAACCGGCAGAAGACGAGCAAGCTGCGCGTTCGCGTATTGAAGGCAACTGCTGCATTCGGAATGCTTTAAATAAACTTGTGAAAGTCTGTCCAGCTGCTAGTTAGTAGGAAGTTGCGATGTACCGGTAGCTGAATTTGACCGTTCTCCTTTTCGGCAGCGAAACGTGGACAATGTACCGGAACGACTTCGGATATCTGAAGGGCTTTCACCAACAGCGCCTGCATCGGATTCTATGCATCGGTTGGGGCGACAGTGTTGCAGACAAGAAATCGCTGCACCGAAGTGGCATGTATGCAGTGGACTGACCAATTCTGTCACGGCGCCTGAAGTGGCTGGCAAATGTACGCCGCATGGATTCTACAAGGATATCGAAATAGCTGCTGTATGGTTAGTTGCGCGCAGGGAAGCCAAACTTTGGAAAACCGAAGCTACGACACCAGGAAGACAGTTGCTCTGGTACACGGAAATATCTTGTTGCCTCAGGAAAGAAAGATAGGTTGCGGAAGTCGTAGGGGTCGACGAAATTGAGCTCATGGACGTCAAGCGCATAGTGTTGCGGTCGCCAGTGCTCAGCAAAGCATGTCTAGTAAGCCACTAGTATGGCTACGGCAGACTAAAACTGAAGAGGCGACGAGTCAACTGAATAGATAATCACCACCAACGCAACGCTTGCTAAGTACGCTGCTTTCTATTCTACTTATCAACCAAGGCCATTAAATGATTTCTATATGATACGTGTGCTACTTCATCGATGCAGGTGGTCTGCACATGAGTCTGCGGCTTGATTTCCTTGCATTTCAGGTGTTTGTTGTTGATTGATATCCCCAGTGTGGTTACACTTGATGTGAGTGTTGACAATGTGCTTACGTGTCCATTAACCACCAGCTCGATTTTACTGGTTCCACGAGAATGTCTGTCGTTGCTGGAAGGGGGACAAGGTGCACGGTTCGCTTGGCCGTTCTAGGCTCGAAGAATGCTTCCATCCGGTGTAGAACGGACTACGACCCAGTCACCCAGATTAGATAGACAGGGATGCTGTGCAACCTAAAGGAGTATGGGCAGGCTCCGTTGGTGAAACCTGGTTCACATTCACAAGCTCGCCGTCTTATTATTTGGAATTTACGTTGGATATGGAGTGTGTGGATGGAGCTGTGGGTGATGCAGCGCAAACCATGTGTAGTTCCTCTGTTGGCGCAGGTGCCCTGTGTCTGTTTTATACAGCTACAATGATTGTTAAGTCCGGATTCGGATACTACCAACAAGTACATGTAATGCTAAATTAGGTAGCATTAACATACCTGGTAGGCTGGCACATTCTGTTTTTAATGATGGCTATGTGCAAGTGGCACCCAGATCTTTTTGTCATCAGTAACGCAGGCCATGCTACGGCAGTAACAAATTTCTATGCAAATAAACCGGGGCAAACGTCTGGAGTTGCCTAAATCTGTGTGGTAGAAGTGAGTAATATTGATTAGTTTTATCTTCCTATCACAAGTAAAATGAGGGTACACAGAACTGTTGCAGCAAATGACAGAAAAAGTAGAAATAAAGGTGTAAAAGCACAATATATAATACATCGTGAAGCGAGGAACCATTAATCATATTTGGAGTATTTAACTGAGCGGGATTGGGATGATGCGGCATTTTAATATTTGTATGCACATCCCACCGATCTAGCTGTGCGAGGGTTGGCTCCAGGTTGGTAAGTCCTAGACTACTACTTATCATTTGTCAGAAACAAATTCTTTGGACAGAGGGCCACCTCAGATGGCGAGTAGTCCTTATGTGGAGGTAATATAACAAGAAGCATAGCTATACGTTGGGCCAATTGTATCCACATAAACTTGGACTAATTCTGTTTATTGAAACGAGCATTTCACTCAACAACTAGTAAGTACTAGTTGAAATGACTCATTCCAGAAAAATGGGCACCAAAACCTTAGAGATGTGCGTAGCCTTGTCAACATTCCTCGTCCCACGGGTAAGTCATCGGGCATTTTTGTTAGCACATATCTTAAAACAGCAATCAGGAAGAGCAGAATAGGTTAATACGCTCAAATGACAAGAGAATATAGAGAGTGATGTAGATTCTAACTACACTTGCACGCGTAGAATACACAGATTAGTGAGTAATTTGAAAAAAATTAGATCGCTTTAGTAATATGAATAATGCCGTAAGAAGACGAACACATTTCAACATTTCGTATTGTCTCTTCAGTGTCAACACAATAACATGAAAATATATAAGACGACAGGTAGGGTGAGACCGGAACAAGTTAGAACAGGGCAGAGGGGCATGCGTGACACCCTTACTCCCAGGGCAGTCGTAGACTTACGAACAGCAGTTTCTGCACACAGAGTGCGGGTTTGATACGGCTGATCGCGACTGCCTCTGCAAAACGTAGGAAATGGGCGTTAGCATGTCTTAACACGATTGTACACCTTTTGGCCGGATCAAACTGGGGATAGATGGCTAGTAAATGTCTACCTATGGATGAAGCAGGTGGTTTACATGAATAGATGGTATGAGCAACCGACGACTGGGTGATTTGACGCTGCAACCATTTAGGTACATGTTCCCTTATTCTGGAGTTCAACGATCTCGGCCGATGTAGTGTATACCACAACTACAAGTAAATTGGTAAATACAATGTGAGTTGGCGCCAATAGGCGTCAACCGGAAGGAGCCTGCTTATCGTGACCCTAATACGTACGTTTTAAACCTGTCAAATGTTCCCCTTGAGGCCTTAAAAATGGAAGCATTATCGCTCGGAATGGATTACAAAATCCCACCTGTTAAGCTAAACCGCTTGTTCATAGAGCCACAGTTTGAAAATTTCTATGACCAGTTATCAGGATTACAGGTATCTAGTCCAGATATGTCAAACTAGTTTAGGAACAAACTAACTGATATTGCCCATGAGGTCATAATGACGCCAGTGCGTGATAAGTGTTTGCTAACAAGTCGTCACCTTTGTGCACTACGAGAGCTGAGGACGAAGGGAATGATTGTACTTAAGCCAGACAAAGGCTCAGGAGCCGTCATTATGTGGAAGGAAGAATACACACAGAAAATGCAAGATTTACTGAGTGATGCTAGCAAATTTAAACTCGTTACAAGAACAGAGGATGTTAGTGAAGTGGAAAGACCCATCACAGAACACCTAAAGTTGCTCCTCTTACACCGCGTAATTGATGATGAGGTATATAACAACCTAAAACCGGGAGTGTCCAACATACCTCAGCTATACGGTTTGCAAAAGACCCATAAATGTGGTATACTGCTTAGACCAATATTGTCAATGGCAAACTTGGCACAACATAAGTTGGCTCGTTGGCTGGTGGAAGTTCTTGCGCCGTTAAAACAGCAGGCTATCCCACACGGTCTGAAGGACTCTTTAGAACTTACAGAGGCTTTAGATGAGTTTGACCTATCCGGTAAAGTCATGTCCACATTGGATGTAAAATCGCTTTTCACAAATGTTCCGCTACACGAAACAGTTGATTACGTGTGTGAAATGGCAGAGTGCTCCCATTTTACTCTCCCAATGCCAGTCGAATTATTAAAGGACAGTTTACTACTATGCACTGAGAACATCGGTTTCCAATTCCAAAACTCCCTATCGCCAGATAGATGGGGTGGCAATGGGTAGTCCGTTGGGCCCAGTGCTAGCAGAATTTTTCATGTCGATGATTGAAAAGAAGTTGAGTGTGGAAATATCGCTTCTTTCCTATTATAAGCGGTATGTGGATGATATTTTAGTGTTTCGCTCATCAGAGGAGCACATTGCGCGTCTGGTCGATCTCCTGAATAACGTGCATACGAATCTGAAAGTAACCAGCGAAACAGAGAAAAGCAACTGCCTTCCATATCTGGATGTGTTGGTTTGCCGAAGTGCAGATGGGTCCATCAAAAGAGGTTTACCGAAAACCGACTTGGTCAGGGCAGTACCTGCAATCTACCAGCTTCTCCCCAATGGGTACAAGACGACCATAGTCAAGACGCTATTCAACCGTGCAAGGAAAATATGTACTACCGACAGTTTAGATGATGAGATAAACTCGCTCAAGGATACACTGTTGAAAAATGGCTATCCAAGTAGATTCATCGACAAACATAATCAGGCGAGGGTGCCGGGACAGAAGGTTTCGATGGTGTCTAAAAAAGAAGATCTACATCGAGCTGCCAAGTAAGGGAGATTTTTCCAGTATGAGGACAATGAAGCGCATAACTTCCGTAGTCCAGAGGACTTATTATGCTGCGGAAACTGTACTTATCAACCGGACTAATCGAATACCTGTTATCCCAATGACGGAAAGACAACCTATTGGCGCCAACTCACATTGCATTTACCAATTTACTTGTAGTTGTGGTATACACTACATCGGCCGTACCAATCAATCGTTGAATTCCAGAATAAGGGAACATGTACCTAAATGGTTGCAGCGTCAAATCACCCAATCCTCGGTTGCTCATACCATCTGTTCATGTAAACCACCTGCTTCATCCATAGGTAGGCATTTACTTGCCACCTGTCACCAGTTTGATCAGGCCACAATGTTTACAATCGTGTTAAGACATGCTAACACCCGTTTCCTACGTTTTGCAGAGGCAGTCGCGATCAGCCGTATCAAACCCGCACTCTGTGTGCAGAAACAGCTGTTCGTAAGCCTATGGCTGCCCTGGGCGTAGGAGTGTCACGCCTGCCCCTCTACCCTGTTCTAACTTGTTCCGGTCTCACCCTACCTGTCGTCTTATATATTTTCATGTTATTGTGTTGACACTGAAGAGACAATACGAAATGTTGGAATGTGTTCGTCTTCTTACGGCATTATTCAGATTAATGAGTATTTGATAAGTTGTAGGAAGGAAAGCTACAATGACACAGCTGGGGTACAAGTCACATTGGTCAATGATGGTAGAGTATTTTGTGTCCAAAAAAATAAACCGTCTTGCCCGAATTATTGCACAGCTTACGAAATAGAATATTTCAGCCAGATAATGAACTAGGAGTTAACTTAGTACACGTTAAGCATGTTAGACAGGCAGCGTACCGGTGTGCATTCCACCTTTTTGCGTTTCTATACAATGTACTAGCGTACATTCGCAACATAATGATGAAGTATATCGTATTCTCGGCCGCGTTTGTTAACACTGACCAAGTAGAGTAATATTTTCTTAATTTGTTGCTACATTGTTTGCGATTTGATTGATTTACACCGTACATAATTGGCTGTCTTGGAAACACAAACATCTGACTTTAATTCCCAACATGCCGTTTTGTTCGAAACTTGTCAGCCTCGCAAAGTTGTTACCTAAAACAGTCCATGTAATGCACTACTAAAACGGTTCCTTAAGAAGCTTTGGTATAAATGGATCTATATTGCTTAGGAATTAAGTTGCAATAATAAAAATTACGTTTCAGCGCTTCAGCTTCGCGTTATGCTTGTTGCAGTCATAAAACCTTTGGAAACAGTGAATCAATTCTAAAAATGTGAGCAGCATTGCTATCTGTATACCATGAACATTATTTCAAAAGAAAGTCGACGTAAGTGTGCAGGAAGTGTAACACAGTGGCTACTCACCTTGTTGGCCAAATACCCGATCTTCGGTTGGGCACAACGAAGTTCGCTGCTGGTGTCGAATCGTCCGAAGCTCGGCACTACAGTGCTTCTGTTAAGAACCTTTTGAGCATCATACACTCCGGGACCTAAAATATTACCCTTGAAAAGACCGTTAAATTATGCAAGAATCCACGGGTAAATAAGCCTATACACAACGGACGACAAAGAGACACATCACTACCTGAGCTCTATTGAGGCTCAGACGGTAAACTATTTTTAGCACTGGATAATTAAAGAACAACAACGTTTATAACTTAAGTTCAAGGTTTGTCAAACGTGGGCCAGGGGCAACTGCAGTATGGACAGGTGCAACCGGTACATGCAATCATCCACGTTGGTGCCCACTCTTCGGTGAAGCAAAGGCTTTAATAGAATGTGAACTAAGTAGGTTGGGGTAGTAAATGCGCTAACTGCTTTCACTCAGTAGTCGTTTCACACGGAACACCGCGTGGAAGGCAAGCGGAAGTACACATGTCACCGTCACTTGGCTCTACGCTAATGCCCACACGACGATTTGTATCTGCTTTTATTGCAGTCGACATTTATCTCAGGCATTGTCGTTAAATAAGTTGTCGTCAAATGGTGTAGACCCACCGTGGAAATTAAACTTCGGTTGGTTGAAGAAGCTTTTGTGAATGGTTCTTCACTTCGTTTATCACTTTTCTTGCACAAATCCACAGCAGAAAGCTTTGAGGAGTAAGTTCCCGGTGGAGGAGCCTAATCACAATGTTAAAATGGGAGAAATCATTGTGTTGTACAGCAGACAGGTCAACAGCGGACAGATAGAAACTAACAATGGCAATATGTGATATATTACGCATGAGTATCAGGATTTTAGTTGTAACTGTGCTAATGAACAAAGTCGATGATTAGTCAAGTCGAGCAGAATGTAAAATCAGTGGGCACTTTCATCAGTGGACCTATTGCACGGGAGCGAATTCAAAACGACGGATAATAATCCAAAGATTAGGTAGGCTAAAGTCACACCAGAAGAATATCAATGAGCGAGGGTATCTTATATTTTATTCCAGGGCATTTAACAGTATTAGCAGCCACACCTTAGTTTAGCTGATTATGCTGCACAAAACGGTAATTAAACAATCCACATAAATCTTAAATACTTCCACCAATTACCTGTTTCATGGGTATATCCGTTTGCTTAATAGTGTTATTGATGATTTATCATAGCGTTTGCATAACTGATGGGACTGGGATCATTTAGGATGCCAATTCTGTCATACAAAGATTGTGACATTTGACTCTCAAATATTGAAGCAATAAACGCCGCAAACGATTATTACTTACATCACCCATTTGCCGTTCGGGGAATCTTTCACATCGAGTTCCAAATCCTAAAATCCTGCTCATCTTTTCGCATTCTTTTTGCTGTTCTCGAATAGCTTTTCCAAACGTTCCATGTTTCTGTTTCGATGCTTTTAAGCATTGAGTATCCGTTCCTGCCGCCTCCCCAGTGGACTTGGTCATAAGCGCAGGTAATTTTTCACTTTCTGATGGTACAGAATCATCCGAACCCGACAGGTCCTTTTTAAGACAGTAATATCGATAAAACGTGCACTGCTTCATCCGTTCCTTTAATAGTTCACCTTTGGCGTGCCATCTCGTGTATGGCATCCGGGAACGGTACATCACAGATAAAATTCCAAAACCAGATTCTCTGTGACTGCGCCTTGCTCTTGTTTAAATTGAAGGTGTTGTGCAATGTAGTCAAAAACACCTATGCTTTAGATTTGATCGGTGCTGAAGGGCAAAAGGTCGGTACGAAAGATAAAGGGCATTCGAGTGACTTTTCCATATATTATGGGGATAGCTCGATGTCATTTATGTCAGAGCAGTTGAAGCATCATCGGTATTAGGTAACATATTGAATAGGGTATGGTTTTCAAAAATTATTAACGCATCAGTTGATCTCCCACAATATGCCTGGTCAGATACCGTTCCAGTAATCGGAAGGACAGATGTTGACTTCAAAGTCACCTGAGACCACCATCGAGGTAGCGTGTCGCCAATCATTATACACAGACGATGATCCAAAATCCAACAATAAACGCATAATAGTGTTTTCGCAAAATGTCTTAAATGAGACCGAGTGGGGGAAAGCAATTTCGTTATAAAACTCAATGTCCTAACCCCTGCACATGAAGAAAGGCAATAAGCACAATCAAGCAGACTTGGTTACTTCAGCTAACCGGATTTTGTGACTAATGCAATTGTTAGTTTGAAGAGTGGGGTGTAGTATTGTGTTGTTCCAGAGGTAAGCTGTTGCAGTCAATCTTCATTCCCATTCAGAAAGCGCTGGAAAATGCTTCGCCTCTTTTGGACCCAGAAGTAGCTCTTCGGATAAGCGAGCAACAGACCCGTGTACTTGGAAGTCACCGCTTAATGCCATCGGCCCATAAATGACGACGGTTGATTCGCATGGTCAATTAACACCTGCTCTATACAATGGCCAATTATCAGCCACTATACATGTTGCTCATAACAGTCTAGCAAATTCATGATGCACAGGGATTACTCGACTGACCGAAATGCGAATTGTTTGTAGCAGTATCAGCAATTTTATCACTCCAACATTGCATATGGTTTTCTCGGGCTGATGAACTCATTCGTCATTTTTTGAGGCGTATCCCTGAGTAACCGCAACCTTTATGAACGACCGGCGTGGTACCGTTTAGATTGCTTGTCACGGTTGTTTACGAAACCAGCTGATCAATTTAGAAAAACATGGTTGTTGGTTGCATTCTTACGTGTCTCGATGGTTAATCAGTATCTGCTCTTATGAAGAAATAACATTTAACCTGTGACACAACGAAACCCTGTTAATATTTTCCCTGCAAAAGCCAACTTCCAAATGGTATTAGTTCAGCCAGTTATTTCATTACGGTATATACTCTGTAAACAGTTAATCAATGCGACTCTTTCCAGGTGCAGCCACCAGCTCGTTCGCGTAAGACAGATACCGTTCTTCTGGACCATAAAGTGATTTTCAAAAAGAGTTGCTACTTTTGGAATGAGTGACGACATGGGCAGAGGCATCATCGATAGGATGAGATAAGTAATTCACGACTGGACAAGATTATACTGTGAACGATGACCTTAAAGCTGCTTCCCTTTGGTTGGACAGCTGTTGTTTAGAGAAACGACATGTAACTACAATCTGAACAAAAATTCCAGACCTCACCGATACAGATTGGAATTTACAGCCCCACAAGGGTACAACGGTAGACAGGGGGGAAGGCTATCTTCCTAAGGAATGTTTGTAATCCATCAAGTCATTAAGGGTTGGGAAACGTTCAACTGTAGTCACCTGGACTGTAAATACCTTAGTCTGCAAGTGCCGCCACATTATCATTCAGAAAACCAACTGGACCAAAAACATGCTATTATGGAACCGAGCTCTCACTAATGTACTACTTGTTCTAGTAACTTGCGCATTTTAAGGCAACAGTTCAAAGTCAGATGGCAAACGAAATTGACAGAAACAAAATAGCTTGATCATTTTGATACCTCAATGCTACAGCATACACAGCTATGGGTATATGAAGTCAGCTAGATAGTGAACACCTTTTTCTTGCTATCGCTGCGGTGTGTTCATGGGATTTGGTATGTGAATACACTGTTTCTCGATGATACAAATGTGGCTAACCGGATAAATAATAGGTGCTTCCCGCGCACCATAATGCACATACAACACTCCACGACAGGTTTGATCCGTATTTTATTATTCAGGTACAAATATCAAGACTACTGATCGCGTCCAGGACGTTGGGTTTCTAGCAGAAGCCTGTAACCCTGAGCTACCGACTTGGGGTGGGGAAAGCTTCTCACAGCAGTTAATGAATTATCTTTTAGACAGCGTCACATATGCACGGAAGCCGATACCGTAGAGATCTTAAAAAGGACCAAAAATATATCTAGCTAACGTTGCGTGCACCACAGGGCATTGTGTTCAATGTAGTCTAGTTATCTTGTAGGATTACGGTTATTCCCTCGGATGCTTATGGTACGTTTTTCGTTTTAGAGTTCCATAACGTCGTGATGGCGATTCTACTTATTTATCGACAAATATCAACGGCTACCTCTTTAAGTCAACTCAGTCTACAAATCCCGTTTGTTGTCAAAGAACAACTCACAGAGACATTGTGTTGAAACAAGATTGGTCCATTGTGAACTGTGCTCAGTTGCCTGCATGTTAAGCACGAAGAAACAGACCTAGATGATGATAAATTGTTCTCCTTTGTACTGTTATCGTGATTTCAACTATTTGAAACTGCAAGACTCAACAGATGCTTAAAGGATCTTAACAGTATAGTATACTTGTTGAGTTGAACACTTGGACCTACTGAAGTAGTCTCGGCTGAAATTATGTGCAGATGGTTTTAATCGTTATACAAGGACATTTTCTACCACAACAGACGAAATTGTTGCGCCTGCTACAGTGAACCTGCCAACAATCACTTGCTAATAGTTTCACAACTTGAAATGTTGCACCTATCCGCTCGCTACTACTCTTCACGTAGTTTGCTACACACAGTATCTGGTCACCTGCTAAATTTATGCGAGTCGCTCGCTACACCGCTTTGCGGGTTCGGTTATCCAACCTCTAGTTCCCGTGAATTGATGTTTAATCGACTTCGGGTCCAGCCTGCATGCGTTCCTCCACGTATCCTTCAAGCAAACTGGATTGATGCCTGTGGACGCAGTCGCATAGCGGGATCAATCAACATACCTTAAGCAATCTGACAAGTGGGTAGTGGGTCACACAGGAATGCAGACAAATGCGTGTTTCCTGCGACTGTTAACGACAGTCCTATTCTGTTGCAGGCCTGACGATAAGATGCACCATGATTTGCTTTTGCGTAAGAACGTTTGTTCAAATAATGCATTAATTTTACTACGTTTAGTGACCGATTCATTCGATTGTAGTTTAACAAAACTATAGACCAGGTCAAAGATATTCATATATGTACTCTTGAGTACGGGATTGCTGATGTAAGTAACTGATAGTACATCACAGCAGCAGATGATACTCCATATGCCCGTAGTGAGTATTCACCGGCTTCAACAAGCTTCGAACCCATGGCCATTAGCGGCTTTCAGGACCAACCAGCACCATATGCTACCGGGCCAAGGTGAACCGCGGTGAACCCACACGCTTTACAAGCTAAGTGCGATATAGCGAGGTTTATCCTTCACGGCCACGCAAGTGACGAACGTTGTGGAGGATAGGGTTGACCCCGACGACAGGACTTCCAATGAGAGTATCTATGTACGACAACGCATTTCGAAACTGTTAAGGCGAATATTTTGATCCGCTCTTGAATAGGGGAATTAGAATGTAACAAAATGTGCGTTCTTCATAACTTTCGTAACGCTTGACAGTGGAGGATAAGACGCGCAACATCACAGTTAGGTTGTAAATCATGACGGTTCGAGGCTATTCCCCGTGGCCCAGTGGCATAAGCAACTGCTTGGAGATGTTTGTACCTGTTAGCCATGGGTTCGGATCTTGATAGAGCCGATGCATGCCCCCTACCGACTAGTCCCGAAAGGACGAAACGGCAGTACAGTGCTTTTCCGTACATATGGAGGACTATGTGATTTGGAAGAAGCTGCACTGGGCTCACATTTAATTTTCATATGTAGCTAACTTATCCCAAATTATCCAGTAGTTTGACTAAGAGGTACGTCATCATCATACAATATCAAATTAAAAGTAAGATAGTTTAAGAGACATTGAAACACCACAACGGAATCACCACCTCATCGCTCCTACGAGATTCAGCACTGGCGAAGAACCATCTGTCTTAGACCTTGTGTTTATCAAGGAGGAACTAATAATTGATACAATAAACATAAGTACACCGCTTTGCCGTAACGATTATACGACGCTTCTCTTCCGCTACATTTGCTACGCGGAATACATATGTAAAAACAGCAGAAAGTGTATGTCATCTATTACGGTAAATCTACTGACTTCGTTCAAGAAACTAATTGGTCTTTCCTACCTAAGCAGCCACTGGACATCGCCCAGAAGGAATGTGTTACCTTGTTCACCTGGTTGGCAGCAAATGCGTCTGAAACCAATGCCTTTCATCCTAAGCAAATGAAGTCATTACTGAGGAGCCGGACATAAAAATAGCTGGACCTAAGGAATTCGGCCTGACGCACTTATAAAGTCTGTCCGGATGAGCAAGTCTGGGATGCCTACATAAATCAGCGAGATCACCGTATCAAATTGGTCCGCGAAGACAAACTCAGACGACAACAACAGGACTGAGCGACAAAATCCACTACTAATCCTAAGCTACTCTACAGGCACGAAGTGCAGTAGTAAGTAGTCCGGTGCTCACTACACAAAATGCGGCGAACGCGCTTCGGCAATAGTTTCCCTGCACATTCCAAAGTGAATAGCCAACTCACCCATTCATGGTACAGCTCAATCCTCCCCCAGGATTAAGCCACCTATTCTGCATCGATGTAAATGTGATGAAAAGACTAGTGTCGTTGCGCGTGCACAGCTCTCCTGGTGTGGATAATATCAGACCAAAAGCATCCAAAACAATAGCCAGGAACCTTGCCGAACTGTTGGTCCGGTCCTTCCAATGAAGACGTGAGTGAATGCCGGTTTCTACCATGTACAAACACGGAACAGTTATTCCTATTTTCAACATTGGGAATCGTGCGGTGCCTTCTAACTACCATCCAACCACCCTCCTCCCAGTCTTATCCTAAATTATG